CCTGGCCTCAGTCTCCTCCTCTGTAAAGTGGGCGGCCTCGTTAACTTATCTCCAACTTCCTCTCAGATACTAAAAGCTCCCTCACCCTGTGCTGTGGGTTAAAGATGACACCCCGGGTGGAGCAGCTCTTCGCACAGGGGCACGGTCATCTGCAGAGAGATGCACCGCCCTGTTTCAAGGACGGATACAGAGGACACGCACTCCGGTCTTCCTCCCCCGGCACGGCCATGCCCCTGTGCAGTGGCAGGCAGTGGAGCTAGTTCTCTAGGCCTCTGTGTCTCCACCTGCACCAAAGGCAGGTCTGACCTTCCTAAGGACCCTCCTACGCTGACCGTCTGGTTCCGAGGAACTCCCCCCTCCCCCGGCAGGTGCCAGCGGGAGAATGAGGGGTGCACCCCTATGAAGTGCTGGTCACCTGTGAACCCCACTCCAGGAGAAAACACAGGTGTTGCCATCATTGTCCCTGGGCCCCGTGCCTCCAGGTCAGAGCTGTGGATTGGATCGCCCAACCTGAAAGAGAAGTCCTGTTAGAACTTCCAGTCATGAGATTAGATACGAGACCCAAAAGGAACCAAGGTCCCGCCTTCAGGAGTGAGGACGACCCTTGGGGTTTCCCCCTTTGACTCTGCAGGGTCAGGAGAAAAGATCTGGCCTCGTCCACCAGTCTTTGCACCACTGACCCCTCTCGCCCTGGAGTTCCCACATCAGGAATCTGTCCTGGGGAGACCAGGGGTGTGCAGGGAGACAAGGGTGTCCATGTTCATCGGCAACAGTGTGATCGAAAACAGGAAAACCGGGGACAAGCGAGCTGTCCAACAGGAGGGGAATGGTTCAGTCAGCCGCAGGGAGCCCACAGCAGGGCACGTGCAGTCACGAGAGTGTTCATACATAAAAAGCCCACGTCACCTGAAGGGGAAAAGGGGCCACACACAACATATCTATCCTATATATATGTCAGAGAAGGAAACATGAAAACGAGAATGAGAAGAAGAATATCCACCAACATGGTAACGATGATGATCTCTGGGTGATAAAATGATGGCTATTTAAAACTGTCTTCTCTTTTTCCTTATCCGTGCCTGTTAGGTTTTCTAAAATGAGCATCTGTTACGTATAACAAAAAGCGGCGTCGTGGTAGAAATTACATAACGGCAATCATTCTTCCTTTCAAAACGCTTTCTATGAAAAGGAACTGCCTTCCGCTGTGTCCCTTCACCCACTTGCTCTAAAAGTGTTTGAGGGCCCTGCCCCAGGCGCTCTGCTGGGCGCCGGCGCTATATCCGTGCACAGCGCAGATGAGCACCCCGCGTGCCTCCCAGTGGGGGAAGAAAGAGAAATATGTAACGGGTCGTGAGGAGAGCGTGAGGGGGGACAGGATGCTGCACTGACTACCGCGGGTGGGGAAGCTCAGGCTCGAAGCGTCACCCGAGCAGAGATGGGAGCACGCCCTGGGCCTGCACGGGTCCGAGGAAGCACGGAGTGCGAAGGCCCTCGGCGACAAGCAGGCTCGGTGTGTTCCAGGAGATGAAACCTTAGCCAGCGACCAGCAGGCATTTTATTCACCCAGGCGTGCTCCCCAGGAGGCCAGGATGGCCGTGAAGGAGCAGAATCTTAATCCGTTGCCCGGTGGCCGAGCAGGAGGTCATAGGCGCCGCGACTCATGGCTGGTTAGAGATACACAGGCGCGGCTGCACTCCGTTAACGGAGCCACTGAAACACCTCCCGGGTCCTTTGTGGTTGTCGGCTCCAGGAGCCACGTGACTTCCCTGAGCTAACGCTGCCGTGGCTGCAGGTGAACGGCTACCTTAGATGTAAGGCTCTGTGCTGAGGTCCCGGTTGTCCATGGCATCGCTGTTTCTGTTACCCATGGGGCGGCACCGAAACGCCATCCGCATCCTATTGCTGGGGCTCTTGGGATGAGCCCTGAACACAGAGCATTTTCATTGTAGGGAGAAAAGTTTAGAAGAAACCCACAGTATTCGTCTGCTCCTGTGGTTGGTCGCCATTGGCCGTCCACCCTCGGGATCTTAGAAAGAAGCTTCCATTGTTCCCGGTCCCTCTCTCTACACTTTGCAGACATCTTCGATCAATACGTTCTTCCAAGCCGTGTTTTCTATTAGGCAAGAGGACACAGCATTGCCGAAGACATTCTCAGAATAGGTAGGAACAGACGCAGGGATAGTGGAATGGAGTTGAACAGTCCAGCATTCTTCGGAGGGTCACCCAAAGGCTCTGTGGTCATAGGATGGACCCCTGGGAGACCTGGAATTCTTCGTCTCTGCATTCTCACCGTAATGAATCGTTGGGGTTAGGTTCCTACTGAAGAGTTCTTTCTCTTGGGCGCTGTCATATCAGAGGCTGGTGACAGGACTCCACACTTTCCCCGGGTCTTCATTCTGTCTTCCCACATCCCACAGATAATACATCATCATTATGCAAAACCCCAGCGTTGCAGAGTAGCTGTGGTATTAAGTGAAACCATTTGGAATTGCCATTACTGTCAGACAGACAGTCCCATCTCATCAGTTACAAATGGCCCAACCGAATAGAAAACGAACATCCCCCGCGATCCGACCCCTCGTAGCGACCTGGCGTTGTAGTTTGGCGCATCCACCGCTCACGTTTAATTTGAAAAGTCCCCCACAGTGAGCTGCAGAGCCTCTCGCAATCCAAACATGGGCTTTAAACGCACCCGCACGCCTCCACTCCACCTCTGAGAATCGGGGTGGTGGGGCAGAGGTGCTCTCCGGTTCACTTGTCGTGATGTGCTTTACAGAAACAGCAGCACAGGAGTCCCTTAAGGTGGGAGCGCCTTCGATGGCGGCAAACCGTTGTGACTTTTCAGGAATAGCTCTTGTGTAAGAGGAGGTGTGTGTCAGTTATTAATGAGTGAGTTTCCTGATGGGAGAACACTGCTCATCCCCACAACCCCGGCTTATGAAAATGGTATAGGACATTCTAAAAGAGAAGAGAAAAACGGAAGCCACGGTACATAGTGCGGTAAAATAAAATGACTTCCACTACTGAAGATTTCGCAGGCTTTCTTAAAAATTAGGCTAAAACTCAGCATGGCTTACTGGCCATGAGTTAGCAACTCAGAATCCAGGATTTTTCCGTTCCTTGGAAGATGGCCTGGTAGCCTCAGGTCCGGTCTGGCACTGGGGAGACTGAGCGGCAAGGTTTGAGCTGGGTTTTGTGGGGATCGTGAGGGCCTGGCTCCGACGGGAAGAATAACCGAAGACCCACAGCAGGAGCGAAGCTGGCGTGGCCGGGACAGAGGGCTGGGGCGTGGCAGGGGCTCCGGTCAGAGGCAGAGCCCAGCCAAGCGTCTGTCTCCTCCTCCTGTGAGGACTCAGCCTTTTCTCTCCGCCCCGTGGGAGCCAGAGCTCTGGTTGGGTTACGGCCCCCACGTGCCTGGGTGAAAAGGCCCGTCTCAGTGTGGAGGCGCCCCCACCGCCCACGTGCCCCCCTTCTCGGCCCTGGCGTTGAAGAGTGTTGAAGGCGCGGGACTGTTGGGAATGCCGGTGAGGCGGGACCCCTGGCCTGGCCCGGCCCATCACAGTGTCCCCCTGAGTTACAGGTGTGCACGCTCCGCAGCTACTTCGAGCACCCGGAGCAGCGAGTCTGCGGCGTTAGGGTCTTTTCAGATGTTGCTGCGGATGGAGCTCCTGATAACATAAACGTCATCTCTTTGCGCCTCTTTCCGATAACGTTTTCTTTTTATAAATCAGAAGAGCATGATAGAGTGGCTTAGCCGGCATTCTCCTCTCAAACTCGAACTTCCCGGTTAGTCATTTAAAGTTAGACACAACCCAGAAAGTCTCTCAACTTGGGACGGGTCCCAGGGCAGCTGCCGGGAGGACGGGCTGGTCCTGAGGTTGAGGGCGGCTCTGGTGGGACCCGAGTCCTGGCTTTCCTGGCAAGTCTGTCTTAAATGGCCTTCCATCCTCTGTCGGAGGGGAGGCCGGTCTATGTGTCATGGCAGCGCAGGCTCTGTGGTTACAGAGCATCCGTGTTCCCTGCGGCCCCTAAGTCCCACCTCCCACGTGCGCTGCCAACAGGGGTTGAGTTCAGCTGTACTCAGTCCTTTTGACCTTAAAGCAGAAAAGTAGGGCCCATTTTCCCCCCGTGTTTTGTTGTTGTTGTTTTCTACTCCCCCCACCCCACCCCGTGTTTTAATATCTCTGCTTAACTGGGCTGCTCAGCCCCTCTGAGCATGCATTCAGGCCACGCGGTTTGATCCCTATATAGACCAGTTTTTTTTATAAAATATATTTTTATTGATTTCAGAGGGGAAGAGGGAGGGAGAGAGAGATAGAAGCATCAATGATGAGAGAGAATCATCGATTGGCTGCCTCCTGCTGGCCCCCTACCAGGGATCGAGCCCGAAACCCGATCATGTAACCCATGTAGCCGGGAATCGAACAGTGACCTCTTGGTTTATGGGTGGATGCTCGACCACTGAGCCCACCCGCCCGGTGTTACTGTGCCTCTTAAAGGAGCAGTACATCACCCCCACAGCTTGCCACGGAGGTTCCTCTCCAGGGGACGTGGTCTCCCTTTTGGCAGGGGTACAGTTTCCTTCTGCAGGGGAACCTTCTGTTGGAAAATCTACCAATAAGGAAAACATCAGCGCACAGTTTATTTCTTTTCTCTCATGGTAACTGTATGAAGCCCCCACTTCCCCAGCCGTTATGTTTATATCCCGGGGTGAGACCCAGCCTGCCCTGGGCAGAGCCCCCTGACTTGGTCCTTGGTTAACAAGAGAGTTGTCTCTGCGTAGGTCAGGGCGGTTTCTGGGCACTTTGCAAGTGTTGCCCTTCACGTGAGTACAGCCAGTGAGTGGGAATAGGTATGTCTCCTCAGGCCCCTCGCCCCTCTTCTCGCCGCCTCCCACCTCCCACCTCCCAGGAGCATCAAGCCTGGTTACAGTGTTCCCTGTCTGTCTTTTCCTGGGGAAGGAATGTCTGACTGTGTGTCCCTGTCTGCTTGCTGTTCAGAAAGCCAAGCTTGGCCCTGCTGGGAACAGAGCATACGGCCCCTCGCCAGACAGGAGACTTTCCAACAACCTGGACCGCGTGAAGCTCACCGACTTCAATTTCCTCATGGTGCTGGGGAAGGGGAGTTTTGGAAAGGTAAGAAGGAGGGCCCGGCCCCTGCCGCAGCCGGGCCTTCGTCCCGCGTGCCGGGTCGGCTCGTTCCTCCTGGCGTTTCCGGAGCAGCCTTGCAGGTTCCCCTGCTCCCTGTCCCTGCGTCTCAGGTGCTTCCCACCTCATTTCATTACAAACAACTGCATCCGAGCAGCGACCAAGGGTCGCCGTGCAGCACCGTGCATCTCGGTGCTCGGAGCAGAGTGGGTGCTCCACGGTGTTGGCTGAGTGAATAGCTTTCACGCCTGAAAATGAAGAGTTGACTTGTAGTAAGTGAATGGAATCATTACGAGATACCGAGCTGGGCATCTTCAGCCTGTGTGTCCACATTTGGCTTTTCTGGCCCCAAATCTCACCCTACATGCAGGAACTCATTGCTGTCCTGCCTGCTTCTTTGTCTTGGTTCCTGGCTCATGAGAAGCTTATGAAAGTCAGTCCCTTTTTTGCCCTCAGGATGCTCCTGGAGAAATGCACAGTCCCACCCCAACACTGATAATGTCACGTATTCCTATTAGCAGCCGTAACAGCGCCATCGTGTGGCGACAGCCTGCACAGTGTGCAAATCTGGCCGCCTTAAAAAAAACCGACAGCGTGCGGGCGGGATTTAATTGGCAGTGACCTGCGATGTTTCATAGTTTGCACATCAAGTGGAACTTTATGAATGCTTTCACGTCACACGCTTCCACCGTTGCACGCACTGTCTCCCCGACAGGGCTGCCTCCTGCCCCCAGCCGGTCTCAGGTGGCCCCTCCTCTGCTCTCAGGTGATGCTGGCGGACAGGAAGGGCACAGAAGAGCTCTACGCCATCAAAATCCTGAAGAAGGATGTGGTGATCCAGGACGACGACGTGGAGTGCACCATGGTGGAGAAGCGCGTGCTGGCCCTGCTGGACAAGCCCCCGTTCCTGACGCAGCTGCACTCCTGCTTCCAGACCGTGGTAAGGACCCAGCACACCGCGCACTCGGGCCGCCCTGAGCCACGCACTGTCCTACCCACGTTACTTTGCAGAGAAGGTTGGAGACCGCTCAGCCCTGAGCCTTCTCCGCCCGGCAGAGGCGACCGGGGACAGCCCCTCCGCCTGGTGCCGCGGTCAGTTCGGAGCCTCCCCTCCTGGTGGGGTGCCCTACTTAGAGAGTTGGCATTCGTTCCATTTAATTCAGCAAACGTTTGTATCAAAGGTTTTCTTCCTGCCAGGCAATGTGCTGGGACTTCGAGACGGAGCAACAATAAGATAACTCAGAGTGCTGGCTCGGTAGCAGGCCAGCTAGCCAGCTGCCCAGCGTTGCCTGGGGACTTTCGGAGGCTCGGTTTTGTAAAAGAGTGTGTTCCTCTTCAGTGCACACAGCAGGGGTGGGCAATCTGGCCTGTGCTGTTCAGCCTGTGAGCTCTAAGAAAGGTTTAAGAAGCAATAAGAATTCCATTTCGTGGCATGTGAAAGGTAGATGGAGTTCAGGTGTCAGCGCCATGAGAAGGTGTCTTGGTGCACAGCCAGGCCCAGACAGTCACCGTCGTCGGTGGCCGCCTTCCTGCTACGAAGGCAGGGTTGGGTAGTGGCAAGACACCCACACAACCTACAATATTGACTGTCTGGCCCTTTAAGGAGAAAGTTTGCTGAGCCCTGTCCTATGGTGGAACTAGGCAGAGGACAGAGAATATTCCGGAGCACTCATCAGCTAGTGGCGGGACCCGGGCCCTGGCGTGGTGCTTGCAGGTGGCCCGCAAGAAATAGGAACTCGGAGGTGGCACCCAGTGCGGCATCCCCACTGCTCAGCCGCTCTCCTCGCTAAGATAGGGCTCAATCATCGGTCACTGTAACGTTACTCTGTGGTGGTTACAATTCCCTCAGCCAGAAATTGACTTTCTGTTTTCTGTCTCCCTTTAAAAATCTGTTGGGAGGCGCCCCCTTAAAGCTCTTGGATTTTAAAATCTCACAATGGCAGTGCAGCCGCACAAGATCAGACGTGGGGTGCAGAGCCGGGTGCGGCCATCGTGTGCCCGCCTCGCACTAGGGCCCGGGCGGGCAGCTCCCCGCTCCCAGCAGCACCCAAGTAGCACTGAGGGGAGAGAGACAATGTGCGAGGAAGAGAGAGCCACGTCTTGAATCCCAGCCCAGATCCTGTAACCCTGGTTACGCTGATTAAGCTCCAGAACGCTACAAAGCAGAGAAATAAAGATGAAATTAAAGTTCATAACGGCAAGGCTGGAGAAGGAAGCTCCCAGAGCCGTATCCTGCCTGGTGGCAGCAGCTTCATCATTTCTCCTTCCCTGGGCAACACTTCAGTGTTTCATAACCTCTGAAATGGCGATGTTTTCTAGAAGGGAACAGAGGTCAGCTGTCAGCTGGGCATGCTGTCCCTGCGACCCCCACTCCGTCTCCCCTCTGTCCCAGCACACTGCCCTCAGACGTATGCACATTTATTTGGTTCTATGATGTGTGCCCTTCCTGGGGCCAGCGCTTAGCATACCAGTAAGAGAGGACATCAGAACCACACGGGCATATTATGGATGCCAAAGCGCTTTTGATTCTCCTCTCCATTGCAGTCCCCTCCCCCACAGTAAATGTGGTTGAGCATTTATAATGCATACGCCCAACCTGACTCACAGGGTTTGTGTTCAGAAGCACCCAGCTAAACATATGACTGCATTGCTCTCGCATGCCTCTTAGACAGTGCAAAGCAGAAACACTGGTTGAAACTAAATAATTGGCCCCTATGGATTCCTCAGTCGTCCCTAACTTAGGACAGTGTTCTGTGTGTGGGAGCAAAGGGTAGACCATTTGAGGCCATGACTGTCACAGGGAGCGTACATGACCAGAGGGGCCATGACATCCGAGTTAGGTACTGACCACCTCCCCAGGGCCCTCACGCAGTAGGTCCGTGGCTTACTCTTCACTTGGGAAGAGACGTGTCGAAGGGCGGCCCTGTGCGGACTGTCAGCGTGGCCCACGCTTCCCTAAGAGAAAGCCACGCCCGGTCTGGGAAGCGTGAGGGGCGCCCTCCCCGGCTCAGCTCACCTGTCGCACTTGGCCTTCAGGATCGGCTGTACTTCGTCATGGAATACGTCAACGGCGGGGACCTCATGTACCACATCCAGCAAGTAGGAAAATTTAAGGAGCCACAAGCAGTGTGAGTATTTGGTTTAAGTCCCTTAGTTGAGACACACAGCAGCCCCAGCTGGGAGCTCCTGGCTGGGTGAGATGCAGGTGGGCTCTGCCCAGTTCAGGGGAGGGAGGGCTGTCACCTCCAGGGGTTGGGGGGCAGGTTTATTGGCGGGGTCCATCTCCGTGTGTCCTAAGGAGAGGGTTACGTGCTTCTTGTAAGTCGGGATGCGGGCGCAGCCCTTGTTGGTTGGCTCAGCCCCTCTGCCCCTCAGTTACTGGACTCATGGTCATGCGCACCCACCACGCCCCAGGCAGCGGGACGGTGAAGGCATGAGCGGCTCCTGCCCTGGGAACTCACCCTCTGGCTGGAGTGGGGGGACTCACTCGACAGTTGTAACTCGTTGCCATAATGTTAAAGGTGGCCCAGGACACCATGCAAACCCCCAAAAAGCGGGGGGTGAGGGAAGAGCATCCTGGGGATTGCCCGTCTCAGAGGCTCAGGATGTGGAGGGGCAGCGGAGGGGGTACTCGGGGTGACACTCCCAGTGGGTGCCAGGCCGGAGAATGGGAAGGTTGGTGTGGCCAGGAGGAGGTGGAGATGGGAGGGCGGTGTGGCTGGAGAAATCTATGGAGAGCAGAGAACAAAGCAGAGGGACTCGTGTTTGAGAAGTCTCTGGAGGAAGAGAACCAGACGTGGTGACTGTGGGGGTGAGCAGAGAGAAGCCTCTTCGTATGATGCCCCATTTTAGGTGAGGGGGGGCAGCCAGCCAGGAGGAGGGGGTTGGGGGGAGAATCAGGAGCTCCGTTTGGAAGGTTTCATTGGGACGCGCCTTGGATGCCGGGATAGGCATCAGCCACGTGGGAGAGAGACCGGCTCCAGGGAAAGATGGAGAGTCTTCCGTCCAGAGGGCAGGCGTGGGTGCCTGAGAAGCCATCCCCCTTCTCGGGGCCAGGAAGTCCCAGGCAGCACTGGGGAGCAAAGCTGAACACACAGCGCTTCCTTCCCCTCCACGGGGACGCCGGTGGCATGTGTCCCGAGGGGTCCCGTCTGCACGTGTTCATGGGATTCTGGCTGACGTTCATGGGAGAGTTGAGTCGGAGACGCTGGCCTGTGTGCAGGGTCTGCCCCGGGGAAGGTGGCGCAGGCCGCGGGGGAAGTCCGCTAGCAAGCGTAGAAAACGTGAAGGCGGGTTTCATTCTCTTCCGTTTTCAGAAACGCCTGCCCTTATCCCCTCGCTCGTGTTGTCCGTCAGAAAGCCTTAGCATGCTCGGATTGTCGAGTGAAGCTGAGCTAAAGAGCATGGAGCCGAATAGCCACCCTGTGTTATAAAGTGACATAAAGGGCTAGTCCCCTTTCATTGTATTTGTGTTGCCAGGAAGGTTTTATTTTTTAAAAGATAGAAAAGCACGAAAAATATTGTCCAAGCCGCCTATAATCCATCTCTTATTTCTCTCCGATCTCTCCCCTCTCCCACCCGCGCCCCCCCCCATACACACACACACACACACACACACACACACACACACACACACCAGTGAGGGGTTTGGTCCTTGTGGTTGGGTTTTCTCGGCTCACGCAGACATCTGTGCTCACCTAGGCCTCCTGGGTTGATGTGCGCACAGGCAGTTCTGTGGCTCCTCAGACTTCAGAGCTTCCTGAATACAATACCAATTTAAAACATCTCTCAGCGTTTATCCTGCGTGTTAGACATGCACCTACAAACGATTCTTAAGTGACGGCAGCCGCTGCTTTCTATCATGAATTATTTAGAAGGGTAAACTCGGGCATGAGTCACGGCGTGTGCCCCACTTATCCCGGCGCTCAGGGTAGCGGTGGGGGTGAGGAATCCAGCTCAGGAGCTCACCGCACACTCCGCTTCGTCTTCCAGGAATAACCGTGTGTTTAACACTGATGTATTCTGTTCACGAGGAGGAACGTGGACATCGGCTCCGCCGCCGTCCCAATCGGCTCTGGCAGAGAGCAGTCTAACAGCCACTCATTAAAAAAAATATATTGATTGGTTTCAGAGAAAGGAAGGGAGAGGGAAAGAGAGAACCATCAATGATGAGAGAGAATCATGGGTCAGCTGCCTCCTGCACGCCCCCTACTGGGGATTGAGCCCACAACCCAGGCATGTGCCCTGAATGGAATCGAAACCCTGACCTCCTGGTTCCTGGGTTGCCACTCAACCACTAAGTCATACCAGCCGGACTAGCAGCCACTCTTTAAGAGATTGTATTAGGGCCCAGCCGGTGTGGCTCAGTGGTTGAGTGTCAACCCAGGAACGGGGAGGTCAGGGTTCGATTCCCGGGCAGGGTACATGCCCGGTTGCTAGCTCAATCTTCAGAGTAGGGTGTGCAGGAAGCAGCCGATCCATGATTCTCTCTCATCATTGATGTTTCTCTCTCTCTCTCTCCCTCTCTGAAATAAATAAAAAATATATTTAAAAAAAATTTTTTGAACAAAGATTGTATTAGGAAATTCTCTTATAAGTTACCTGTCCACCTGCCCCAGATGAGAAGTGCTTGTTTCTGGGCAGGAGCTAAATCCATCTCGTTGGTTTTATTAGCTGTGTCATCTGTAGGGGCAGTTGGAGCGATGAACGGCAGAGGGAAGGGGGCGGGGGGGGCTGGAAGAGCAGGCGGGAGGCGACGCTAATCTCTGACCATCTCACTTCCCCGGCACCTGGACTGGGTGGGACAGGGACCAGGTCCCCAGGAGTCCAGACGAGCCTGACCAGCTTTTTCTCTTGCAGATTCTATGCAGCAGAGATTTCCATTGGACTGTTCTTCCTTCATAAACGAGGAATCATTTATAGGTGCGTGGCGAAACTCCCCCACCCTCCGTGCAGTTGAGCATTTGGCTGGACCCCTGGGTCTCTGTGGGCGTGTAATTCTGGGATGGGGACTTTGTGGAGTCCATGACACACCACCCCCCCCCAGGCAACAGACCCCTGCTGGGACCCTCCAGGTGATCGGAACCACCTTCTGATCTCAGGACCTCACATATTTGTCTCCTTTCTGCTTCCAACAAGAAAACATGCTTTTCTTTCCACGGACCGCTCCCGCCTCTGCCTTGGATGCGGGAGGGAGGTCAGAGGGCGATGGAAACAGGATTTCTGTGAGACGCTCAGCTGGATGAGGACATGGGGAAGTGGGAGAGAGGCCAGGGAAATGCTCCTGAGTTAAATCCTTCTGGTTGTCAGCTGTCGCGAAGGTCTGGTGCCAAAGGGAGAAGAATGTCTTCCAGCATTGAGTGGAGAGAGATGGAAAGGGCCTGTGGTCCAAGGCAGGAGAGGGAACACGTGTGGAACCCATGGGGTGGTGCTGTACCTGTGGTCTGCACACCTGGTTTTGGGTCAGACCCCTCTGCGTGGGATGCAACTAAATTGGACGACTGGCCTGTCCCAGATCTGCTAACTCGGAATCTCTGGTGATTCCCTCGTGCAGCCAATGGTTGGGGACTTACTAGTTCGGCGATTTAGTCGTTCATTCAACACCCATCCATTAAGAACTTGCTGTGTCCTGGGCACTGTATGTATTAGGCTCTGGGGATAAAAAAAAATAGTAATTTCTGGTCCCGACTCCCCTGGTACTTACAGTTCATGTGCCATTGAGGTGGCAGCTCGTCAGATATGCGCCTCAGTAGCTGCAGAGCGAACCGTGCTCCGCACGCCGCCATGGGCAGGGCGCTGACGCTGTGCCCTTCCCCGCAGGGACCTGAAGTTAGACAACGTCATGCTGGACTCGGAGGGGCACATCAAGATCGCCGACTTCGGGATGTGCAAGGAGCACATGATGGACGGCGTCACGACCAGAACCTTCTGTGGGACCCCAGATTATATCGCCCCGGAGGTAGGGACCCCCATTCTCCTGTTTCCTAGACCAGCGCCTTCACACTGCAGCCACTGCTCCCTGCTGGGGTGCAGAGCCGTCCTTGAGTCACTGTGTGGGCCTGTGACGGCAGAACGCACTACACAGCAGAACAGGAAGTAGAGACACGCACACTCGTGCCACCTAGTCGGTGCACGCCTCGTTTTTGGATCTTTGCTCTCCTATGTGCGCGGGTAAGCCAGTTGCACAGTAAAACGTACTTCGTGGTCACGGTCCAAACAACTTAAGAAGCTGGGCAGGGAAGGAGGGCTCTGGCTTGTCAGGATGTTCTTCGTGGGAAAACTAGGTCAGAAGGTGGTTCCGGCCCTGGCTTTTTCGCGAAATCGGAGTGATTAGTGCTTAAAGGGCCCGTGGGCACTGACCATGTGTTTATTCTGGGACGGACGCACCGTGTGGCTCTGAGGTTTGTGTGCTGACAGCCGAGGCCGCGCTGCTCTTCTTCGTGATGCTGCCTGTGGAGTGCTTTCCTTCCTGGGTTGTACCCAGGCCGTGCAGGCAGCTCTGCCCACACACAGCCCGCGGGTGGACCGTCGCTTCCCGGCGAGCTCCCGCAGCTGCAAGGGGGCGGTGCAGAGTCAGGCCGGCCCTCGGCTTTCCATGGCAGCTGGTGACGGCTTTGTGGTATTTAGTCAACATAGCGTCCCCGGTATTTCTCTCGGAGGCAGTCGGGACAGTGGGAGGGACATGAGCGTAGAAGTCAGACCCCGGTGAGCTTCCGTCCTGACTCTTATGTACAGGCTGTGGGACCTCGGGCCAGCTCCTTGCCCTCTCGGAGCCCGTTTCCGCAGGGCGAGCTGGGAGAAGGATAAGCTCCGTGCAGCATTGCTGTCAGGACTCCAGTGCCTAACACGATGCTTGGCACCTAGTCAACCCCCAGGAGTGGCCATTATTCCGGAAGGGAAACATGCATGTTCCTTTGTTAAGGGCTTCTTGTTGGTTATATTCCTAGAGCATGTGGAAACAGAGTTAGACTATATTTTTAGAAACTTAAACTCTGAATTACATGGGCAAAGGCATTATGTTATCTTGATGAGTAATTTATTGGGATTTTTCTCCCAAAAGAGCTCACATATTAGTATCCCCAGGCATAACATGAGCTTTAATAGCCCTATTTTCAAACATGAATAGCAAGATCTTACAGTAGAAATACCCCCCACCCCACCCCCGGGCCATGTCATGCTAGGAACCTGGGAACAAGCTTTCAGACGGAGTGATCCTGAGGACACCTGGCAGAGAGAGGGATGCTGGGAACACGCCCTCAGAGAAAGGGATGCTGGGAACACGCCCTAGAGAGAGAGGGATGCTGAGAACACGCCCTCAGAGAGAGGGATGCTGGGAACATGCCCTAGGGCAGTGATGGCAAACCTTTTGAGCTCGGCATGTCAGCATTTTGAAAAACCCTAACTTAACTCTGGTGCCGTGTCACATATAGAAATTTTTTGATATTTGCCACCATAGTAAAACAAAGATTTATATTTTTGATATTTATTTGATATATTTAAATGCCATTTAACAAAGAAACATCAACCAAAAAAATGAGTTCACGTGTCACCTCTGACACACGTGTCATAGGTTCGCCATCACTGGTCTAGAGAGAGAGGGATGCTGGGAACACGCCCTAGAGAGAGAAGGATGCTGGGAACATGCCCTCAGAGAGAGGGATGCTGGGAATACGTCCTCAGAGGGGGATGCTCAGAAAACCAACTTTGGGCCTCGTAATACCCGGAAGATAGCATGGGCTGGCCCAAGTAGCCTCCGTTTCCACAAGCCTCATTCCTCTCCTTATACTCACTGCACAAGCAAGAACAAAGAGAGCAGCCCGCTGTTCATCAAGTGTCTACTACATGTCAGACACCTTACACACCTTCCCTCCGGTCCCATACCCAGCCCTGTAAGGGACGTAACATCAGGCCCCGGTTGCAGGGCAGGCGCCTGCAGGGTCAGGAATGGTCTGAGGCCTCCTTACTAAGAGATGCTGGAGTCAGGCGTCCACCCCTGGACCGCCTCCAGACCTGTGCACGCCCACCACACTAAATGCTGCTCACACCACAGGGAGTCACGTGTTCAGAGAGCACTGCGCATGCTTTCCTGGGCAAGCGGTGCCACCAGGTGCAGGGCGATATCAGACGAGGGCCCTGACCTCAGGGTGCTTACAGCTTAGGGGAGGGGAGCCCCGTGCAGATGAGCAGGAACCGAGATGGGTTTAGGTTCCAGTCAGCCTTCATTGAGAACGGAGCGGTGCTGCTCTGGGAGCTCAGTCAATAGTGGCTGGAGGTTGTTTCCCCTTCGGCCAGCGTTCTCCTCCGAAGGGCCCCCAGGGGTCATTGTGGGGTGGAGAAAGACCATCTAGGGTCGAGGTTTCTGAATTCTCCTGTCCTCTGTGTAAATCGTCCTGTCAGGTGGAGGCAAAATAATTATCTTAGATGGCATTTCCCTTAATAGGCAAAGCGGGGGCTTAAATAGTTATGGCTGTTTGTTCAGAAACCTTGAAATGGATTAGTACCATAGCATCTCCTCAACCGGGGAGAGGAGCTACGGCGGAAAAGGTCATTGACAGGTGTGATTTTGGAGTTGAGATGGTCGCCCGCGTAAGGGGCATTAATCAGAAAGTAATTCCTGGCCATGCCCATGTGTTCAGTGGTTAGAGCACCAGCAGCACACTGAAGGGTCTCGGGTCCAGTTTCTGGGCAAGGGCGACTACCTGGGTTTCAGGTTCTAGCCCCGGCCCTTATCAGGGTGCATCGGGAGGCAACAGATCTATGTCTCTCTCTCTCTCTCTCTCTCTCTCTCTCTGTCTCTCTCTCTCCTCCCTCCCTTCCACTGTAAAAATCAATGGAAAAAATAACCTCAGGTGAAGAATAACAATAAAAACCCAAGTGATTCCAACTTGAAGGCTACCCTTTGCTTTGACCTGGAAAGAATTCTCTGGGTCAGTGAGAGTCCTTGACAAGGCCACACAGACACTCTATCTGGACTTCATCCCCCACCAGAAAGTCAGTGATGTGGGTGTCTGAGAGCCAGCTGCAAATCAGCCGTCTCCCAGCCACGGACCAGACTCTGGTTCCTCGCCTCGCCCTTTTCTGGAAGAGAGAGAAGCAGCAGGAAGAGCATGTGCCTCCGGCTGGTGGACCTCTGCGTCCCTCCCGTGGGATGGGAGCGAGGCTTTCTGAAAATGCGCCGCGTGGAATGCTCCCTTGCAGCCTGTGGAGGGGGCGTTAGACCACACACGAAGGATGTAAGCTGCGATGCAGTGACTGTCTTCTGCCGTGTCACATTTCCTGCATGTGCAGGCGTTAAGTGACCTGCCCGAGGTCACACAGCTGGTAACATGCAAAGGTGGGATTAGGGCCCAAGACAGTCTGGCTCCAGAGCCCATGTATGGAGTCTTTCCAGATGTTTGCCCCATCTCCAGAAGTAGGAGAAAACTCCCAGAGTAACAGTGCGCTCAGATGTGATAGCCCATCTTTTCTTTGACATCCTTTAGGCCACGTTGCACATGTGGCCAAGTTCCAGATGTGACCCAAGTTGCACATTCCTCCACCTGAACGGCAGTCAGAGCCCTGAGTCAGGGGCGCCCCCGGCACCTGTAATGCGGTCAGTGACTTGGGATCTCACTCCAGCTGTTAAGACCAAGCAGGTCCCTCAGAAGCCAAGGGTGAACCAGCAACACTAAGTCCCTCTCCCTCACGTGCATCCATTAATCGGGTGTTTAGCAAGTGCCTACTAAGTGCCTGGGCACGCTGGGCAGGAAAGGAGAGCCCAGAAGGGACCTGGGAGGAGGCTGGGGCTGGGGCAGTTAGAAATACTGTCCGGGTTTAGAGAGACGTGGGTTTAGAGACGTGGCGAGACAGTATTCCCCTTGCCAGGAACAGGTGGCACCTCCAACACGGCTGAAATGGCCAGGAGAAGTCTGCGGGCACCTTGGCCACCCGTGGCCGGCCAGCCATGAGCAGAGGTGTAAACCCCTGGGAGTGTGGGGGCTGGATGAGTTTAGAGCTGACGACCTGTCCTTCCAGCCCAGCCTTGCCCGTGACAGCTGCAGGAGTCTGCATCTTTATGTCACATCTGCCTAATGGTTCAAGTTGACTCTGGTATCTATTAAGAGAAAGGCCTCCAGGTAAGATTCAGCCAATGGACCATCAGCTGTGACCTCTCTTCTGGAGGGTCAAGGGTCCCATCTGGAAGAGCCACAAATTAGGGACGGAAGGGAAAGAAAAGACCAAGAGGTGTACACAGAGGCAGAGAACCAGGAGGCTGTAGCGTCCACCTGGGATGTCCTGACCTTAGGTGTCCGCGTGGCTCCCTCCCTCACCTCCTTCCAGCCTCAGCTCAGATGTCCCCTCGGGGAGGCCACGATCCGGAGCCCCGCCCTGCAGGCAGATGCCTTTGGGACTGCTGGATGCGGCATGCTGCCTGCCAAGGTGCGGCTGTGGCACAGGAGACCAGGAGCAGAGCTGCAGGCTCGGAAGCTGCTGTTGGAAGGGTGGTTCACAAGGCTGCCAGGGGCTGAGGCAGATGGCAGGGGACGGAGTGCAGAGGACAGCTGGGGAACCTGAGTGCCCGAAGGTTGGCGGGACATCAGCCCGGGTCCCCCAGACAGGCAAGGTGCCCCCAGGGTTGGCATCCCGAGACCTTTCCTGGCCGTGGGGGAAAGGGTTGTAGAGAGGGACAGAGGATAAAAGGAGTAAAAGTTAAATGAGAAAGAGACTCAGGCGGTGCCCGCAGCCAGGCAGCCAGGCAGTAAATTACTTGGCAGACGGAGAAGAGCAGGGAAATGAGGTGGAGAGAGGCCAGGCGGCTCCGGCCACCCTGGGATCCGCGCCTCTGAATCACGGCCCCACACGCCCCACATACCCGCGAGGGTGCGAGCCAAGAAAGCACTGATTGAAGAAAGAGGATGATAAACCGAAGGGCACCTCTCTTTTTGTCAAAGGCCAGTTTCCTCCATGGAGGTCACAAGC